TGTGACGTCAGGACTGCAGTCTACCAGAGCCAACTGGCAGACTGCGTTGACTGGAGGCTCAGTGGAAACACAGTCTCTGAGAGCTGTTTCATTGCCTCTACAGGAAATATGAGTAGCATTTACCATGGTCTTGTTGATGGTCTCATATCTCACACTCTTTGGCTCTGTAGGAAGGGTAGGTTAAACAAAGGCATCTAATAGTTAACCAAATACGGCAATGGTAGTATAAAACAATTATTAACCTCGGTAGCCGAGTTCTCTGCAGACGACAGTGGCATCTTCTTGGGTCCATTCATTATCACAGAGTGGAGACCATACTCCGTCACTGTTACACATCTCTACCAACTGAAGACGGCCATTAGTTGACCCTGTCACATTGCATTCAGCTATGATCGAGTAAATCATATCATATTAAAACAAGTGTTTACTATAATAATATATACCATCGTTTGGTCCAATGAAGACGTTGAATTCTCGTCGAGTGAGGGTGACAGTAGAGCTGTTAGTGGAGGTTTATCTGCAGGTTGGGAGGTATGCCTGTGTTGTGCCTTCCAATTCTTTGCAGAGCCCAAATCCTACACACTAGTGGCCCTCTTACAGCATCGTCATCAGTGAATAATGCTTGGACCAAGATGAACCAGAGTAGTTTCTCTGGTCTTTATACTAATCATTTACAGTGTCTCTGGTATTATACTGCTATCATTCACATGATAACCATTACGAAACGGGCAGTAGCAGTTGTAGGGGGATAAGGCCAAGGATGCATGGCAGTCTCTTACTATATATGGCTGAAGTGCCTTGTGGTCAAATGGGGTTGGCTGCTTTTTCCTTTCTGGGCAGATGCACAGTAGGCTCTATGTAACCTATACCCTCCTTTGAACTGATACCCCATACACAATCCACCCACGTTTAGCTCATCCGTTTAGCTATATATGCAAATGAATTTGGATGAAAGTGTACTCACATGAGAGCACCAAGAGCCATGTGAACAATAGCTATATACATGAGAAAAACTGTCCCACACTATACTATAGGTGACTACTGTACATAGTCATATTCCAGTTCCTCTGATGTCTGAGTTTGAGAAGGGATGAAGTTGTACAGAGGATTAGACTGCATGCAGACACTGTGGTGAGAGTCTGTGACTGCAGAAACACTCGTTCTTCCATCTGAAGTCCCTTGCTGTGTTGGCTTTGCAACTCCCCTGTGTTTGTTGCATATGTGGGATGTTATGTAGATATGTACCACAATACATGATAAAAACATCGCTAATAAAGTTATGAGCCAAATTGTAACTTTCACACATTAGCCGATAGATGTACCCTGCTGTAGATTAATATAAAATGACACTGAAGCAGTATCTGAAACATCTGACCTTTGCACAACATCGTAGGATGTTATGTAGATATGTATAATTATACCACGATACATGATAAGAACATAAATTATGAGCCAAGTTTTAACTTTCACATATTAGCGGATGTTGCGGAATGGATGTGCCCTGCTGTAGATTTATATAGAACACTGAAGCTGTACACAGGAACATCTGACCTTTGCACAACATCGTAGGCTGGGTTGTGCGCAGTAGTGATCTTGACTTGACCTCTACGTCGACATTCCAGTCCAATAACAATGCCAACTGCTACAGCCGGCAGGAGCACAGCAGACAATACACCAGCTAGTATTCTCACTCCACCAGTATCACCATCATTAGGGTCTTCAAACTCTGGATCTACTATAACTGTGATGTCGGGACTGCAGTCTACCAGAGCCAACTGGCAGACTGTGTTGACTGGGGGCTCAGTGGAAACACAGTCTCTGAGAGCTGTTTCATTGCCTCTACAGGAAATATGAGTTGCATTTACCATGGTCTTGTTGATGGTCTCATATCTCACACTCTTTGGCTCTGTATATAGGAAGGGGTTGATTAAACATAGGCATCTAATAAGTAACCAAATACGGTAATGGTAGTAATGGTAGTATATTAGACGTCGGCAGATTCAAATTGACCAATCAGATGTCGTAAAACGTGGATTCAAGTGCGTGTTTCCACGGAGACGCCCGCCAAAGAACGGCGTCTTTGATGGCAAGCCGCTTCCGCGCAGAGAAACTCGCCGCGACGACTTCAAGCTCGCTGTATCCGATGCTTCTTCGATGCTTCTTCGATGAAAGGCCTCTCTACGATGCAAAAATAAACTAAAATGAAGACCTATTTAGCTTCCCCCAGCGAGAGCGGAAGGAGCCTTAGTAGCGTCTTCGCTGCGCTCAGACAGCTACAGCTCAGGGCCCCTCGGGCCGTCTAAATCGCGTATTCCCTGCATTGACGCGCAGTATAACCTATATACCTTGGTAGCCGAGTTCTCTGCAGACGACAGTGGCATCTTCTTGGGTCCATTCATTATCACAGAGTGGAGACCATACTCCATCACTGTTACACATCTCTACCAACTGAAGACGGCCATTAGTTGACCCTGTCACATTGCCTTCAATGCATTCACCTATGATTATATATTATACAAGTGGAAAAATCATTTCTTCAAAATGAAAGGGGGATATAGGGATGGCTTGAAGCACCAAAAAGGAAGAAACAAGGGGTCATTACACAGCAAAGTTGCACACAAAGCTACATGACACCATCCCTATATCTTGTTCGATATTAACCGTTAACCAATCATATGTTCTCGTAGAAACCCGTGGATTCAAGTGCGTGTTTCCACGAGGCGCCCGCCAGAGACTGGCGTCTTCCGATGGCAAGTCCCGCGCCTGGCCTCTGTGCGCAGCAGAACACTCGCCGCGAGCGACGTCAGCTCGCTGTATCGGATGCTTCTTCGATGCTGCACTTCCTACGATAAAGTGCCTCTCTCTACGATGCAAAAATATCACTAAAATGAAGAACCTATTTAGCTTCACCCGGCGCCCAGCGAGAGCGGAAGGGCCTAGTAGCGTCGTCGTCTGCGCTCAGACAGCTACAGCATCAGGGCCCCTCGGGCCGTCTAAATCGCGTGATTCCTGCCTTGACCCGCGCAGTATACCTATATTACCTAACCTTGGTAGCCGAGTGTTCTCTGCAGACACGCACGAGTGGCATCTAGCTTGAAAATGACGAAAAAGTCATGTTACTGAGTAACAAAGAGTACAAATGGAGAGCACCCATGCAAAAATGTAGGGATGTGTGATGGGTGGGGGTGCAGATGTGCTCAAATCTGTTCATTAACCATGCTCATGTACCCCCATCCATAATCTTGTTCCATTTTTCTATACCATCCAATAATAGCCTTCTCTTTTTAAATTCGCAGGATTTAAATTTACTTGTAATATGGTTCCCTGAAACTGAGAGGGGGTCATAATCACTCACTGAGGATGTGAGGGTAAAGGTTGCCTGTGCTGCCGAGAATGGACTGGAGGGACAGTGCACGCGGGTGTACACACCGGAATGGCCTAGAGTCGCGTTGCTATGCGTGAGCGGTTCCTATCGGCCACAACATCACATTCCAGCAGTACACTCTGGAGTCATATATTACTGTGAAAGACTTACTACTCAGGACATGATTTGAGCAGAATGGCCCTGAATACATACCAGTTAGTTGTCCTGATCATTTCCATGACGACAACAGGCATTTTTCTCCATTATTAATTTTTATAGGGGGCTTGCCCCCTTTCACAGAGATATACGTAGTAGCATATAAAAATGAGTGGAGATAAGTAAATTAAAAATCCTGCGAATTTAAAAAGAGGCATATAGGGATGGTATAAAAAGAAAGGGAGACAAGATAGGGATGGGATACATGAAGCATAGTTAATGAACAGATTTGAGCACACTGACACCCCCAACCCCATCACACAATCCCTATATTGTTGCCTAGGTGAATTATTAACATTCAACATTACACAATAGTCTAGCTTGAAAATACGAAAAAGTCATGCTACTGAGTAACAAGAGTACAAATGGAGAGGCACACCATGCAACAATGTAGGGATTGTGTGATGGGGTTGGGGGTGTCAGCATGCTCAAATCTGTTCATTAACCATGCTTCATGTACCCCATCCCTATCTTGTCTCCCATTCTTTTTATACCATCCCCATAATATGCCTCTTTTTTAAATTCGCAGGATTTTTAATTTACTTGTAATATTGGTTCCCCTGAAACTGAGAGGGGGTCATAATCACTCACTGAGGACTGTGAGGTCAAAGGTTGCCTGTGCTGCCGAGAATGGACTGGAGACAGTGCAGGTGTACACACCGGAATGGACTAGAGTCGCTGTTGCTATGGTGAGCCGGTTCCCATCGGCAACAACATCACCATTCTCAGCAGTCCACTCTGTGAGGTCATATATTACTGTGAATGACTTTACTACTCAGGACATGATTTGAGCAGAATGTGCCCTGACTACATACAGTTAGTTGTCCTGATTTCCATTGTACAATGATAGTGAAACTTGTGTGTGTGTGGAGAACTTAGAAATCATTAGATCCCGGTGATTTGAAATCGCGCAATTTCATTGGTCCAAACGCGGGATCTATTTTCCGTAGATCCCGCTGCCCCGGACGACGGGATCTATTGGGGAGCGAGCGTGAAGACGCGATAGGTAAGAGACTCGAGCGAGGTTTCAGCTACCAGCGGCGAGCCAGAAACGGTAGGCGAAAGCTACAGCACTCCCTAGCTCGTCGTCCGCCGCGCTTCGCGAAAAAGGGCCCCGCCCACTCTACGCGCACGTATGTTCGAGGATTGGCTCGCGGCGAGCATGAGTTCCTTCTCGGAGTCTTACTGGTCTAAACAAGATAGTATCTCGTCGCTGAACAGCTCGCCTGGCGTGGCCATATCTTCGCAAAACAGTTTGAATGGATCTAAACCGGTTAGACGCGTCGCCACGGTAACTACGCGTGGTAGAGTGCCTCGGGCTCCCTAGTAGCGCCCTCGCTGCGCTCGGGACGCCGACAGCTCGGGAGCCCTCGGCACTCTACCACGCGTAGCCACCTCGGCTCCGCATCTAACCTATATGTAGAAATTATTTGGGTCTGCCTGGCAATTTGCCAGTCAATGATAAAGTGTCTATTTGTGTAACTGACGAGTGTCTAGAGGTCCAGTTCCATCAGTAGCACACACCACATCCACAGAGTCCCCTACTTCCACTGTCCGTCGTGACGGAGACACCCTCGCCGAGGGGAGCACTAATTGGGGAGATCATCTCACATTCAAATTGACTAGAGGGGAAACTCCTCTCATTAGCTCACCTGGATACTTCACTTCAACTGAGGCATTGGCGATGCTGTCGTCACTGTTGGTTACCACGACAACGTAAACACCAACATCCTCATCTCGCAAACTGTCAATTTCCAGTGTTGCCAGTGTATTATCAGAGACAGTGGCCGTGTATCGACTGTCCGACTCCGGATCCAGCTGTGTCCCATTCCGGTACCAGATTACGGAGGTGACATGATTCACGGAGTGAATGTGGGCGGGGATGGTTACCATGGATCCTCTCAGAGCGAAGATTTCTTTATCCGAGATAAAGACCGACAGAACAGCTGGAAATGAGACAAAAACATGCAGCGTTATAGTGACCCACGCAATAGTCAATCTATAGTTATCCCTGGTTTGTATGCACACAGCCAGTGGGTTTGAATTTTATTTCGCCTAATTTTCACATTTTCATGTACTTATGTATGTACATACACACCCCATAGAGCACACACCACATGGAAAAAACAAACTTATGTATGTACATACACACCCCATAGAGCACACACCACATGGAAAAAACAAACTTATCAGAGAGTCGGT